TTAATATGCTAACTTTTCATACTATCATATTCAAATAGTTTGTTAATAAAATTAATTACATTGATACATAGCAAGTGCTGATTTCAAGCTTTTATATTTTAAAAAATTGATACTTAAAAGAATTGGACGGAATAATAGAATTGTGATAAAAACATATTTTGATAAGCGAAGAAGTAAATTTCTTTTTCTTTTTTTTTTTTTTATATCCATTATTCTTCATGGTATGATTATTTATTTTACTTTTTTTTTTTTTTTTAATTACTTTTTTTTTTTAATTACTTCAATTTTTTAAGTGCCTTTTTTTTTTGATTACTGCGTATAATAATTATTACCTTTTTTTTTAATTACTTTAATTTTTAATTACTTTTATTTTTTTTTTTAATTACTGCTCCCCAATTTTTTTTTTTGAAAAGAAATACATTGGTATTGATTGACTAATAGACTATAACAAATTGAATATGAATTATGTATCATTAAAAAATAATTTCTGCTACACACTGCGTTTATTTCTGATAGAAAATCCGATCAAAATTCAGGATTTATGGGATAAAAAAAAAAGATCAATCTGAAATGATTTAATTACTATATTTGATATTACAGAGAATTGATAATTACCAATCAGGTTTTTTTTTTCGTAGTGAAAAAATGATGTGAATGATAGGATCTCCCTTTTCCAGATCAAAATTCGATCGTATCAATATATATATTTAAATTCTCATCAACTTTTATAATTAATATTTAATACTTATTCATCCTTTTATGCTCCCTGTCTTCGAAATCTCGAGAAAGGAACAAACTCCATTTCAATTTCCCACTCTTCCGGCAATTAATTCTAAGAAAAAAAAACATCCCCTTAAACGAAGATCCTCTCGACCAGCAAAGTTTATTCCTTGTATTAGAGTTTGAAATGTAAACAATTAATCTCTCTAAATAAATTTTAGTTGGTTCATCATCCTCCTTCCTTCATTTTGCTTTAACATTTGGAAAGATATGAGAACATCGGCATGGTTCAACACTTTGATATTCACTTTGATAAGTTTACAATTTCATTTCTTATACTACAACACTTTGTCAAGGAAAGAAGACGATGGCATTTCAATGATACTACAAAAATGTGTGAAGTTTGATCACACATCTATGGTACTTTATTTGAACACATTATCCAAGTAACCATGAAATTCATAAAATCGGTTTTCCTGTATTCGATAAAATGCCAACAACTCTAAATCTACATACAAAACTCATGTATTTATATATAACCGTTTTATAAACATCAATATCAAAACTTTGTACAATTTGTAAACAGCATTACGGTCACAACATTATATTATCCATTCACATGTAGTATGATAGGTCTATGCAAAGATGGATAAATTTAAAGACAGTAAACACCAGAGTAAATAAAATGAAATTGAACGCACAAAAAACAAGTATCATTATCAATACTAATGTCATGAAAACGAAACAAAGCAGGAGGAAGTCGCCAAGTGTCGGTTGCAATGGAAGAATCGGAAATCCCAGCATTTTCTTTTAGAGCCACTTTGGCACAATAACCCAGGACATGCAAAAATTATATGAACAGGAATGAGGAAAAAATGAAAACTAAACCGAAAAATTACTGTCAACATGACAATCCTCAAATGATATAAAATGTTACACTACCCCGTATGTTCTGACCTACTGAGCATGTATTAACCATACAGTTCTTTAATTTGAATAGTACAATAGAGTACTTTAATTCAGATAATACAGTGCGAAGATGTAACTCATACATTTATCTAATTTCTAAATACGATGGTCAATCAAATAGTTCGGTAACGGCCAATAAAACCTATGTTAAAATACCTAATAAAACTTCAGGTGATATCAAAATAACCTAGAAAATTTCAAAAAAAGCGGCTCAAATTATTGTAAAGAAGTCGAGTGCTTCATTAGTATGCTTGAAAAAAAAAAGAAAAAAACCTATGCTACATTTCTACTAAACATCACCAGACAAGTTAAAACGATAAAGAATGAGAGGTACAACTTATCATGCCAAAGTCAGGATGCCAAAAATTATTGAAAAGAATGAGAAAAGCTTCTGCGCTCTTTGAGCCAAAATAGCCAAATTATGAGATAAAAAAGACGGAGAGGGGGAAGAGACCGGGGACCGACAACAGAATATCAAAGAGATCGCATACCAAAAAGCTAAAAATAACTGAGAGAAATAGCAAAACATAGAACAATAGAACCCTCGCCAAACGAATTAGGTTAATCTTTGAGAACACAAAGAGACATGAAATTTTTGAAGTTGAAAAACATCTAGTATTCAAATCCCATTCGGAAAATTTGAAACGCTGAAATTCATCGAGATTGTTGTATGCGAAAACATAAAGTCAATTACCATTCAAACACATTTCCCATCTAATGAAACTTAAAATGACGGAATTCCAAGGGACCAATAAAATCACTCTAAAAAAGTCAATTGTTTTTCTAAATAGGTGTGAGCTTTCGAAGAAAAAAGAATCCTTGTATGGCCTATAGCCATCGTCTTCCGATTCATAAAGGTCAAACCTCAATTCGACAAAATGACGGAAAAAAACGTAAGAACACTATCGTCCACATGCTCGGTTAGCAGCATGCACAAATAAACGCGCAAGAAAAGAAAACTAGTGAGCTTTTCTTCCCGACCTCATAGAAGTGAGCAAGTCAAATCCAAAAGATAGATATAATACATAATGACCAATGCAGCTCGGTGGTCGATAATGATGGAAATGTGAACGTTTCCTGCTTTTGCTATACAAATAATCTCCACGATAAGCTGATATTTCAAAACAAAAATAAAAAATAAAAAAAATTAAAAAACAGGCCAAAAACGCAGCAAAATACAAGCAATATTCATACAGAAAAATAAAGAAAAGTACGACCTTCATTTATGAACCTACTTGGGGATTTAACATAATATCACACAATGACTTCCCGGAAATTATTTCCGAAAACGGATTATTTGCTTGTATTACTACTTTCTTTTCGCAGATATGCTCCACAGTGGAACTAGTCAAACTTTCCGGACCGAAATTTGAGTCGTTAAATAGTATTTCCAAATCACTTGGTGAAAATTTCATCATAACTTCACGACTGGCTCGAAGAATTATTCAAAACTAGCTAAATGAAACGGTTGTCGTGAAAGTCGCAAAAAAAGAATCATACAGAATCCTAAATAATAAGAAAAAATTTTTAAACAAGAAAAATGTAAAACGTTAGTGCCTATTAAAAAAATGGAAAAAAGGAAACTGATTTTGACAAAATAATTTCTTTGCCTCGAAATAATCACTTATGCGAGTAATCGATTACCGCACCACTACCGACAGTATCAATTTCACCGACATTAACACGATTCGGATCTACTGTTCCTTTGAAACCCAAACACGCACCATCGACAACCAGTTTACTTCCTTTATTACCTTTTTTCTTGCGTTTTCCGCCACCCGTTAATATTTGTTGCGAGGTAGAACTGTCGGACTTACTGTTCACCGCAGTGGTACTTAATGCATCAGCTGCTTGCGCAGGATGAGTTAAATCCTGCAGAAAATAAGATTCCAAATAATAAAGAAAATGTCATATTTTAGATGTAAATTTTGAAAAAAAATAAAAAATTAGTCACTTGGAAATATGTGCACAAAAATTGACATGAATAACTTGAGTGGATGCAAACTTACATCCTTATCAACAGGTTCCCTCTTCTGACGTGCTTGCGAACGCCTTTCTAGAAATTCTCGTATCAATTCTTTCACCAACCGACTCTCACCCAAATAACCAATTATGTAATCTTCCACCTAAATACAAAAATTTTCATGTTTTAGAACGTATTCGCCAAGAAACATCATTCTAGAAACAACTATTATGCAGTACGTATAATTGTACGCATTCTAATAAAAGAATTTGCAACTATCCAGACAGGAATCTTGAGAGGAAAGTTAAGTACCTATAGGAATACCCAGAGGAAATAAAAGATCATATGAATGAGAAATTATAGTCATACTTCATTTGGATTGTCGACACCTTCAATGAACGCAGCGAAAACATCGGCATCCACTTGTGGGTTTAGTTGTTTTACTCGATTTACCATCCAACTAGTAAGAGCATTACCACTGCTTGTAACGGACTGCTTGAAGATTTTCTTTACTGCCTAGAAAAAATGCACTATTTTGAAAACCTCTAAAGTCAAAACGAAATCAGTACAACACTGCAGCTTCGACCGGTTTCAGAAAATTTAAGATTTCAAAACACCCTGCATTTGTTTCACTTCTTTTCCAAATCTTGGGAGTTTTAAGGACGTGGAAAACTCGATATTGAACAAAAGTAACACTAATACATACTTCGTGTTCAGTACTTCCTCGTTCCAACTTGTTTGCACTTTGTAAATTTCTGAAAAAGTTTGATTTTGATAATAATAATTGTTAAACATGAAACAACGAAAATTCCAGCACATGCTTAAAAGTAAACTTTTTCCAATAACATGCCTGTTAGTTTTAATTTTACCACTATCTGAAAGCGGCGGATCATCCCAGACTGCTTTTGTAGCGGTTACTTCATTCATACTTTTGGCGCCACCCCATGCAACTTGCCGTGAAGGCACAACCACATCAGATATTGGCTAAAAGGAAGTGAAAAAAAAAGTGCATAATACGCAAAAAAGTATGGCCATTGTACAGAATTCTAAATTACTTAGAACAGCTAGATTTCCTTATTTAGAGTGTTAGATCATTGCATTTACACAATATACGTGATCAGGAGAACAGCAGAAAAAGGAATAAATCATTAAGGTTTTACGAAAAAAAACCTGGGAATCCTGCCTCCACTTAAGTTTATGGGTAGCAGAATTCCAAACTCCTGCACGAGTTGCTTCCCCAGAATCTTTCCATATTGCTGCACCATTTATTTGTTGCTGCTGTTTATGCTTCATCTCTGCAATCATTTGTCGCTCTTCCTCTTGTTGTATATCCAACAAACTTGGCTCGCTTCGATCTGTCATTCCCTTATTTGTTACAGCAACCCATGGAGCGGCTAAAAAACTTTACTGAATTATTGAAGTAATAAACTTAGCAAAGGTACACTGAGTCAGATAATGTAAATAGATGTCAAAAAAAAAAAATGTAAAAAGAGACAGACTTTTCGGTGCAGCCACTTTTTCTTCACCACTTTGATATGTTGCTTGCCAAGAATATCGCCAATTAGCGGATGTATTCTCCGATCCTTTTTGCCTTAAGGGTGGCGTGAATTCTTCAGTAACAACGAATTCCTTTGAAGTATTCTGAAATGTTAGCGTACAAACATCCGTTGTCACCGAATACTATTCAGTAACGAATATATTTCAGAATGGTTCGCTGTTATCATTAAACTTATTCTGGAAATAGTTAATTATACGCAAATACACCACAATTATGGATAATTCTGTTGGACATTACTTAGAGATGTTAATGGTTAAACTCAAAATATTGCTCTTCCATTTTCTGTCTCCAAATTCAGTTTTTTTTAAGTCGTTAAATTCTCTTGAAAAATTTCTATACGTTTCATCAAATGACATTTTTGGAAGGAAACTATAACTTATCACTCTTACCTTGCAACTTAGATTTCTTCCAGAAGAAAATGGTACTAATTAAATATGTTGAGTCAAATAATCTTCTATTTCAACTTAATTACACTACCCCTTTCTTCGATTCAGTCGGTGGCTTATGATGCAAATTTTCTTTTTCACGTGCAGTTGCTGCTGCGCACTGTGATACTTGTTGTAATCTTTTTTGTTCAGCGGCTGTTTGTCGAGTCGCTTCTTCAGTTTCTTCTTGTATTCTCTTCAACTCCTTTGCTTTTTTCATGCGCATTTCCGCTTCACTTTTTAATTGTTGTTGTTCTCTCTCTTCCTCCTTCTAAAATAATTATGGTATTTTTCCACGTAAGCATGTCGAAAAAAGCAGAAAAAAAAGTACCAAGAGTCCATATTAAACTTGTTTTTCCGGAATCCTTCCTTCTCGCAAATTATTTTTGAAATAATAGCTTTATTACAAATATCCTACTCGTCTTGTTTCGGCTAATGCTCTTTCCACTTCTTCCTTTTTCGTCCTTTCCATCTCTTCGGCCAACCGTTTCTTTTCAGCCTCTATTTCACGTTCTCGTGCCGCTGATCGTTCTTTTTCTTCTGCTGCTAACTGCGCTAATTCTTCCTGAAATTTAGATTTTTAAAAGAGTGAAACCTTTAGTATTCCAAAGAGACCTGATTTTAAAATAAAGACTGAAAGCAACAAAATAAAATAGGTACAACGTAACATTCTATGAATTTCAATTATTTCACGCGTACCATAAAATGGTCTACTCACCTGAGATCCTGCTACCAATCCGAGAAATTAAGGGAGTGCACAAGGCGTGGAGGGAGGGAGGGGGAGAGGGGAGGAAAGGTGAAAATGCTACCATCTTACTTGTGCCTTCTGAAGTTGTAGTTCTTTCTCCATAATTCTCCGTTCTCGTGCGACCCTTTCTTCCTCCTCTTTCAACAAAGCTTCCCGCATCTCTTTCAATTGTCTTTCCTGTTCTGCCACCCGACGTTGCTCTTCTTCCAATTTCTACAAATGAAGAGCCCTACGTTATATTTTTGGTAGAGATGCCTAGCATATATGATATTTTCTTTTCTGTCTTAGTAGGATAAAGTCCATGGTTCCTGAAAATACGGCCAAAACTAAAAAGAGCCAAATTTATATAAAATTTGACATAAAACACAAAGATAAGTACTAACCTGTCGTTCCTTCTTGACTTTTGCAGCTTCAATAAGTGATACACTATAATCTCGACTCCATATATTTCTGCTGTGATAATCGAAATTCAAAATCAAAAATTAAAGAATACTAGGAAACTAATTTAATAACAATGCACTGTGACTAATTTACGCTTAACAAACTCCTTATAATATCCACCCGTGATAGGAAAATAATGTAGGTACATCATTTTATCAAATATTATCTCAATTATACTTTATACAATATACAATCAATCATTGGTTACTTATGCATTCTGTTTCCTTAGAATTAAATGCCTTCGTATTTTCAAAATCAGCTATCTATAAAAAAAAATTAAAATGTTTACCTTACTTCCTGAGTCTGTTGCAAAGGTAACTGCATTACTGGTGGCTGGAAGGGTTTCAATTTGAACGGCGTCTCCTCACTATTCATCGCTATTAACTCACCCAAAGTCGTAAAACTGCTATCTGGATTCTGTCCATGTCGCACGCGTAACTCCGGTGTGAAATATCCTAATTTATACCAAGCCTGAAATTTACGCTTAAAGAAGCTCTATTTCCCAAATATGAGTAAGCAGTAAAAAGTTTTCTAATTCAGTATTTAAATCAAGTTTGACTAACTACCAAAAATCATCCCATTTAATTTTCCATTTTTCTGCCAATATAATATTCACCTGCATATGAATTGTTGGGAAGGGACCTTGCACAGCATTTTTCGGATCCACATAGTACCATTCATCGACATAATCACTCCTTGAAGTTAACCCCATTGAAGCGGAATGACTAAGTAAGGTTATATCATCCGTGTACTAAAAAATCATAGTATTAAAAACCATTTCAATCCTTAACACTGAAGCAGCTGCTACAGAGACTATAGCCTCATCAGCTTTATACATATGTATAAATATACAGCCATGCACATGTAATTAACATCCAAGCCCATCTCTATCCACATGCCTCCTTAATCCTTCAGGATAAATTTAATTACTTTTTCTGGCCATGAAATATCGCTCAGTCGACACAATCACATATCTACATGAAGCTATCTATTTCACACTTCACTACCACTTATCAAGTAGACATTGACTCATTTCAAGCGAATCAAAATACGTAATATTGAATAACACGCCCAAAGAATGCGAATATCTGCCGCAGTAAAGGAGTACGTCATATCTCCCAAATGCGAAAACCAGTTTCGGTGATATGCAAAAATTCATGTCAACGTACACAAATGATTGGCTGAAGAAAAGGAACTAAAAAGATCAAAACCAGAAAGCTTATCATATAAAATAAACAATACATTTTGCTGAAACGGACTGTTTACAGCACCAGCTATTGCAGTAACGGATGTGGGCTGTTCTGTTAGAGTTATGGTATTATCAGGACCCTGAAATAGTTTAAGTACAAAAACGTGAACAAACGTCGTCAGTTATCAGGGAGTGACCATGAAAAAATAGAGAAATGTCATTAGTTATCAGAATTTCTCATACATATCATTTTTCATAACTATCATCATTAGCCGCTTTATAATATTCGCTCGAAGGATTCAGTTATTCCCCTATGCCAATCGCATCCAAACAAATCAACAGAGCAATTAAACTAAGTGGGACAGTTCGAAATGCTGTGAACTCTGTTTGTGAAGTCTACGCATAGGCATTCAATGTGACATGACATTGAGAGATGGTATCAGAATTCAGTGAATTAGCAGAACCTTCCGATAATTTTTTTCCTCGACTCACTCTTTCATTTAAATATTCTTGGGGACCGGGAAACCAAGTTCTACAGGGTTTTAAATGTCACTTATAAGCTTCCCCACTAATTCAGCGGACTTGAGATGATGGAGAACTAACACCGCCTTCTTTTTTAAAACCTTAAGCCTAAAGAAAATNTAACGCACAAAGAAAGCACCAGTTACAGAATACCAAATCAAGAACCCTACAACAGTCTTTAGTGATATAATGAAAGATATGACTGGTTGTCACTGTCTTATATTTTTCGCTAAACGATTTGGCATTATATATTAATTTC